ACATGAGATTTATCATTCAAATCTGTGGACTCGTTCCTTTAATATATGATATGTAGACACTCTCAGTGAGCACTTTATTAGGAACCTCACACTAATACTGGGTAGTTCAGTTCTTCATGTAATGGATCCACCCTATGTTGAAACTTTCTTCTGAGACTCTGCACCATGTTGACATGATGCATCACATCATTTCATTCACGCTGCCAATCTCCTGTTGTCCTCTACTGGATTCAGGTCTGGAGACTGTCACCAGTTTGTTACATTGAGCATTATCCCTCTGGAAGTAGCCATTAGAAGACGATGAACTGTGGTTATTATCAGGATGTCCCAATAACTCAGTGGAAAGCCTCCAGCTGATTGAAAATGCTACAGTGCAGGTACTAACAGGAACTAGGAAAAGAGATCACATTTCTCCTGTGTTGGCTTCTCTGCACTGGCTGCCAGTAAAATCCAGAATAGAAATAAAGATCTTCCTCCTCAATTACAAAGCCATTATTGGTCAGGCACCTTTGTATCTAAAGAGCTCATAGTTCCCTATTATCCTAACAGAACACTCCTCTCTCAAAATGCACGTCTACTTGTGGTTCCTAGAGTTTCTAAGACTAGAATGGGAGGTACAACCTTCAGCTATCAGGCTCCTCTCCTGTGGAACCAGCTCCCAGTCTGGGTCCAGGAGGCAGAACCCTCAACTATCAGGCTCCTCCTGTGGAACTGGCTCCCAGTGTGGGTTCAGGAGGCAGAATTTTCAGCTATCAGGCTTCTTTCCTGTGGAACCAGCTCCCAGTCTGGGTTTGGGAGGCAGACACCCTCTCTACATTTAAGATCAGGCTTCAAACTGTCCTCTTCTATAGGGCTTATAGTAAGAGCTGGATCAGGAAAGTCCATCCCTTAGTTATGCTGCTATAGACTGCTGGGGGATTCCCATGATGCACTGAGCATACTCTCTCTCTCTCTTCATTTATATCTTACTACTTCATGTCACTAACTTCCCCCGTATTTTGTGCTTCTCCTCTCTGTCTGTCTCTCTGTCCTCATTCTGCAGGTATCTATGTTTTAGAACAGCAGGATCCAGATCTGCCACTACAACATTCACTATTATTATTATTATAATTATTATTATTGATAACACTATTATCTATAGGTTTTAGTAGGATTATTTCCATGATAACAATTAATGATTAACAGCATATACAATAAGAGGTAGTGGCAGAAATAATGGTGCCTCATGGTCCCTCTCTCATCTCCCCCACCCCCTCTTTCTCAAACCTAACCAGTCAAGGCAGACAGCCGCCCACCCTGAGCCCGGTTCAGTTGGAGGTTTCTTATATTAAAGGGAGTTTTTCCTCCCCCCTGTCATCAGGTGCTGCTCTCTGTGGGAACTGTTGGTTTCTCTCTATACTAAAGTAAGGTCTAGACCTTACCCTGTAAAGTGCCGTGAGATAATGTATATTATGACTAATCATAATAGTCAAGCGCTTTACAAATAAAATTGAAAAATAGTCAGACTGTGACATTCAGACCATGATTGATTGGTATTAAAAAGAAAACATTCCCCACACCATCACCACCATCCTGGAGTGTTGACACAAGGCCGGTTGGCTCCATGGATTCATACTCTGACCCGACCATCTTCTGCCACAGCACAAATGCAGATCCATCTCACCAAAGGCCTGTACTACGAAGCAAGTTCAACATACCCAGGATAAGTTTTAGTTATTTGGGTTAACTGAACCTAACATTGACCATAGTGAATAACCTGTACTACAAAGCTGGTTATCAACTGGCTCATTTAACCCCGGGTTTACCTATCTGGTTACGAGCGCATTCATGTGAAAGAGGCGGAGTTGTTAATTATAAGCAACATCATCAGAAACATGAATGAAGTACTTAATATGATATAAGAATCAGGGGAACGCTGATACTTGCCATTAAGTTTGGTTATAACTACATCCAAAAGTGATATTCAACAAGGTGAAATGTGAACAGTATGATCACATGACTGGAATAAAAAAAAATATTTTCATGTCTAAATATAATTTCTATTAAAGTCAGCCTAAAGATATATTGTAAATAAGTGCATGAATTATCATCACGTTTGAATATTTTCGCTCTTCAGTCTGATGATGACCAAACTGTTATGAATATGTGATGCAGATAAAACAGTTAATATTAATGTAAGACTTTCTGCAACAGAGAGGAGAGAAAGAAAAGAGGAGAGAAGTGGTTGATGTCTGATGGGTTGTGATCATAGTCTCCTCATGTTATGAGGTGCAGTGATGAAGAAGAGAGTAAAAGCATCCACACTGTCAGAAATCCTGTCGGATTAAAGAATATTATTATATATAAGAATATATATTATATAGGCTATTTATTTAGCTTGATAAACTCTCTGTGGATTTTTTTAGAAGCTTTGTTTTAAAACCAGAGTGGACACATGGAAAGACTCAAACAGGAAAACTATTTCCACTGATTTTTTCATATTTCACATATATCTGCTGCTCATTATTATTTATCACTTTATTGAAAACCCTTTTGTCCCTGTCAGGATCCTGTAGGAATGATGACTTTCCAATGACTTGATTGGTCAGTAGTTTGGCTGTGGACAGGTTTTGATCTGATCCTCAAAGTTAACCTGTGTCGGAGCAGGTTAGGAGTTCAGCGTAAGTTACTGGGGTAATTTACCCCAGTAACAAGTGAACCAAGTTAACAAGTGGACTGAAAACCTAGAGTTAAACCTGAAGTTATCTTGATAACCTCAAATCCTGGTTCGTAGTACAGACCTCAGGTGTTGACCTATCCAGTGTTGGTGAGTCTGTGTCCACTGCAGTTGCAGGTTTCTGTTCTTGGTAACAGGAAGTGGAACCTGACGTGGTCTTCTGCTCTTATAGTTTGGACATTGTTCACTCTGAAGCTTCTCTGCTCAGCACAGTTGTGAAGAGTTGTTATCTGAGTTACAGTAGCCTTTCTGTCCAGTCTCCTATGGCCTCTGGCCTCTGACCTCTCTCATCAACACAGAGCTGCTGCTAACTGGATGCTTTTGTTGTTGCTCCATTCTGAGAGCAACAACAAAAAAAATAAAAACTCTATAAACTGTTGTGTGTGAAAAGTTTCAGAAATGCTGACACCAACAATCACAAAGCTCCTCACCTGGATCTGCTGCTGCCACATGATTAAGAGATTTGATAGTTGCATGAATAAACAGGTGCACAGGTGTTTCTAATAAAGTGCTCAGTGAGTAAGTAAGTAAGCAGTGTATGGCTGAAGATTTAATTAATGAAAAAAACCACAGTATATGACAGTATGTGGAGGAGGAGGAGAAAGAGGATTACCCAGCACTTCCAGTGACGTGGTCTCTGTGTAGACCACAGGTGTGATGACCCTGCAGGTGTACAGCCCTTCATCTCCCACAGTCACATTGTGTAACTGCAGAGATGCATTGCTCTGGAGCAGCCCCATTCTGTCCACCACAGAGCCGTCTCTGTTCACACGTGCTGTGCTGTCCTCAAATGTGTACAGGATCTTCTTCTCTGTGTGTTTGTCCACCATGTTCCACTCGACAGTCAGAGCGCTCCACTCCACCTGCTGGGTCAGTCTGTGGAACAGGCAGCTGACGGTCACGTCTGTGCCCACCAGCACACTGAGCCTGCTGGAGTCATCTGAGCACCCTGAAAACACAGAGGGAGTCACCTGTAGTTCACTGTGCAACACACACACACACACACACACACACACACACACACACACACACACACACACACACACACACACACACACACACAGCTGTGAGTCGTCCTCCACAGCCTGATACTGAAGAACAAAGATCTACATTTACCCCCACAGAGCAGAACAATAACCAGGACCACAGTCTTCATGTTCAGCTGGAGCTCCATTAGGACTCAGGCGTCACGCTTGTGTGACTGCGAAAGCGGACTGTGACGCAGCAGATTCAAACCGATTCCCTGGACTGAGGATCACTTGTTGGCTGAACAGGTAGAGTAGAGCAAACATTCACCTGGGTGTTAACGACCTGTCAGTCGTGGACTTTGACCTGCGGCTGCAGGCTCCTGCATGTGGCCTTGCAGAACTGCATGTGCAGCATGGATCACAGCTGGTCAACACTGTCTTTTCTTTTTCATGACTGCTCTGCAGCCAGTTTTATGAACAATTCATTTCTGACCCACATCTGATAGAAATCCCGCCCACTCAAGCAAAGCTCTTTAGATGTACAAGTGACTTTTCACACACCTGGAGTCAGCAAGTGGAAAAGAAGAGTGTGACCCACCCCCAACTTTTTATCTCTCCACTCTGGTGACAGTCAGGGCTGTAGGCATCATGTTTTCAGGTCGTCTGTCTCATTCTCGTGAACCTGATATCTCAGTAATATCTTGAGGGAACTTCTTCATTTGGACTCATGTTTTTGGCCATAACTCACAAATTTATTAACTAATTATGAAACAATTTAACTCAAATGTCTTTAAGGATAAAATGAAGTGATGACATTTTATATCCAACAGTCAAAGTTCAACTTCACTGTGACATCATAATGTTCGGTAAAAGCACTTCAGATAATTATTAAACACTGTAACTCAGGAAGGAGACACTGTGACCATATTTATAAACACTGATTGCTCCTTTACATAGGACAGATGTAATAACAAAACATCTCTAGATGAACGTATCATGTATGAAGCCTTAGGCTGTGACATCACCAGCGTGGGTGTGGCCAGAGGTATGATAATGCTACAGAGTGACACAGTGATTCAGTGTAGAAACCTGAAGCTGGTATCTGGTCTCAGTACTAAACCTCAACACAGCTGTAAGTGTACAAGAGTCAGGGCGCCTCGGTGGCTAACCTGGTAGAGCGCGTACCATAAGGCTGAGTCCTACCCGCAGTGGCCACGGGTTCGAGTCTTTACTGCATGTCATACCCTGTCTCTCTCCCTGATTTTCCTGTCTCTCTCTCTCACTGTGGCTGTCAATAAAGGCAAAAAAAGGGAACATGGGGTGAAAATTTCACTTTATTATTTAGAAAAGTAATACATTCAGATGACTGTGTTGTTCGCAGTGAGAGGACATCCCAGTTAAGTCAGTGTGTAACAGCTGATGGTCAGTGAACACCCGCCTGCAGTCTGATCTGTCAGCAAACTCTTACTTGAGAACTGAAGTTGGCACAGATATCTAGGCCACAGGCATGAGTACGTGTAACCATAGATCTTTGTATGTTAACACATTATCTGTAAGTCTGTCTTGTGACATTTCATCACCTGTCAGCAAATAAACTGCTCTGAGATGTTCCAACATCATTACAATGAAGAGAAAACTTCTGTCCATTTCACTACAAGACACTTTTTATTTACTTCCCTTACAACAGTCTTGTTAGAAATCCAACATGTTTTCGGATGTTTTCTCCACAGAGCCTCGTCCCTGAGCACAGCTCGAATCTTCATCCCACCATGGACCTCTTTCTACCTCTCAGCCGAACCTCATCCAGCTTTTTAATGACTGCTGACGACTTCTTGGATGACGCCGTGTAGCTCTTCAGCAGCTTCTCAAACAGTGCCTCTGTGTTGGGGTGAGTACTGAGGAACGCCTTCTCCAAGACATACAAGTCAACCCCCTTATCCTCCGGCAGAGCAGAGATGTAACTCAAGCCAAAGTCAATGAGGACCAGGTTGGACTCTGGGTCCTCTGGGCCACGTCTCAACAGCATGTTGGAGGTGGTCAGGTCTCCGTGGATCACGTCCTCATCGTGCATTTTGGCCAGAATCTGGCCCACCCTCTGAGCCAGCCACTCCAGCTCCTGGTCCTGACAGGATTCAGACTGCTGCGTGGAGGCGATGTGGTCACACACAGTCAAGGAACCCACCACTTCCTCCAAGAAAATACAGTGGGACATGTAGTCCACAAAGTAGACTACAGGGGCAGATATGCCTGAGGGGAAGAGAAAATGAAGGCTGTGATATATATCAAACTGTATGGCTGTGAAGCTGGACTCTAGAGATTCTAACGTTAATGAGTAATACTATAAACCTGAGTTTTAACAGATCTGGTGTCATTATCCTGTGTTGTTTAATTGTGGAAAGATCCCATGAAGCGACCACTCACTGTGGTTCTTATCAGACAAACAGGAGGGAACAGTGCGTGCATCTGTTGGAGACTATTTTCAGTCGCGGATTAATCCACATTTGGTGCTGTAGTGAATGTTTGTGTGTGGTATGATGGTGTGTGTGGGTCTGAACAGTGTGTTCATGTTAATGAGTCTCACATGTGACACAGTGAGACTCACTGATATGTTTTCATAGTTTCTGGTAGGGCTGAACAATTAATCCAAGTATTATTGAAATCTCAATATGACCAAGTGCAAAATCAGAGGAGCTGCAGTTTGTGATAAAGGTAGAATGTGTCACAACAGATCATAAATAAACACCATGCTCCAGATACGCCCCAAACATGACCCCAGAAAAAAAATCACTTCATTATAATTTTTTTTTTTTGTGACAACAAAATGAAAAAATTATCACTTCCACTAAAATTGTGACTCGTATCACAATATCTGTCAAAATAATTGTGCATTTCATTCAGCTTTAGTATGTGGAAACAGTGGAACTCGGTGGCTCAGAGGATACATCAGCATGTGATACACACACAGACCTGTTAGTATTGGCTTTGGTCTGGACATGGGGTTCGCTGACAGTAAGGAAAATACAGACCATCACCAGACAGGGTGAGGGCTGCAGTCAATGAGGCTGTGAAGAGCTGCTGCACAAAGTATTAGTGAATCGCGCCCTCTAGTGGCTTTACAGATACTCAACACATAGGTTCAAGATTCAGGACCCAGAAAAACATTGATTAGATGCACATTCAGCACTGTAGTATCAGATCTGATTTGGAATTTCAACCACATTTAAAATTTCTCTCCAAAAGTTTTTACTGTGGTTATATTATATTTTCATAGATGTTACCAAAATGTTAACAGTGTAGAATTTAAACATGATCACAAACTCAAATAGCTCGTGGTCAGAGTCTGTGTGTAGAACATGAACGATAAATGATTTTCAGAGTTAGACTGTTTGACAACAGAGCTGAAACAGTCAGTTAATCAATGAGCTGTGTGGTTCAGACCTCAGTGATTCAAAAAGTGAATACTGATAAAGACAAAAATTATGAATCTGTCTTAACTGAACAAATAATGTAGCAGCACAAAGTAGTAATTATATCTGATTTATCAGGTTAATCAGTCAAAATATAAAATCACTGGGATTTGTTTCTTTTATATATGATTCTACTGTTAGGACAAACAGTGCTCCTATTCTCTGTATGTTTTATGTTTTCATGCCACATTGATAACAGTAACGGTCTAAAATGAAATGATTAGCCCATATTGTGTTATTATTATTATCATTATTATTATTATTAGTGTACCACAGCTGGTCAGATGTGAACATTAACACATACATGGAACTAAATAACTAATATAACTGTAACTAACTAACAAACTGACTGACTGAGGCCACTCAGTCTGACACCGGTGATTTGGCGGTCCTCAGCCTGACAGTCTCGAGCTGAGGTTAGCTTACAGGAGCTAAGTTAATGACCGCAGTTATCTCTGGATATCGCTGGATAGTAACACGGTAGCGGACGCTCCGACCTGGAGCTCTGTCTCTGACTGTACCTGCCCTCCGACAGCGCAGTATGGATCGCACCTCCTGCACCGTCCTCCGGTGAGTCAACTTTTGATCCAGCACTGGGTGTCTGTACCGTTTCGGAAACCGTTCCTTCACTATAGTCGGTTTTCCCAGAAACTCTGTCCGGTACACCCGAGCTTCAGCTCCTTGTTTTACTAACTCGACGTTACTGAGTAACTGTGGAACCGCCATGTTCTTCTCTTGGGCCATACTTACTCCCGCCTTCTTCTACTGTCTCATGTCACACCACTTCCTCTGCGCTGTGTCTACGTGCTGCCACCTTGCGGCCACCGCCATGACCACACCTTCACCACAGCGGGAAACTTCACTGATAGATTAGGAGAAATGTTTTTCTAGTTGTAAAATAAAATTCAAACTGTTAATCTACAGTTTACGAAGGGAGACTCAAAGTATAAAGTAGAAATATATAGTATGCAAAAAATACAGTACCTGCTAGAGTAAATGTACTTAGCTACAAACATTTGCTGTAGTTTTATTTTCACAAAGATTAACTTCTGTCAGAATATAAAACGACTAGACTAAACTGCTACACTAGTTTGTGTTTCTCTGTCCTCATTCTGCTGGTATATCTGGACTCTAGAGCTGCAGGATCCAGATCTGACTCTTAATCCACACATATCATCATCATTATTCATTTCATTGTTATTGTTAGGATTCTAAACCAGATGGGTATCTTTGTTTAGTTTTAAAGATATTGACCAATAAAATTAACAAAGGGGGGGATTGGTGTCCAGTCACCATAAATCTTGGTGGCTGTGTCAGGCTATGTTTGGGTATAGACCTACCTCAAAATCCAATGGACAGGGTTTAGGATCTCTAGGCAAGTAGTAACAAATATCTGAAGTGACTTATTGACTGATGACAGTGATCAATCATATATTTGCCCATAACTAAAGATGCCTTTGGTCAATCCTGATTGAACTCAGTGGCGACATGTTGAGCTGTCTCTTGAACACATGAGGGAACATTGACTGGATCCAATTTGACGATGAAACAAGTGTGATTGTGATTGCTCTCACACCTTTAAACAGGATTAAACTACTGGAAGTTTGACTTTGCCAAACCTGCACAGCTGTTCGTGCTTGTCTTCTCCCTCTCACCCCCTCTTTCTTCTCTCTCCCTCATTTCTCTCCTCTCAACCAATCCGGTTATAACCCCCTCCTCCATCCTCTCCACTGTAAGCAAGTGCTGCTCATGGATCTGTTGTTTTTTCTTTATACTGTAAAGCCTTGACCTGATTCTGTAAAGTGCCTTGACATAATTTACGTTATGATTTGGTGCCATATAATTAAAATTGAAGTGAAGTGAGCTGGTCCTACAGCCCCGCTCGAGGCTTACCTGTGGCCTCCCCAGGACGCTTGGAGTACTTTCTGGGATGTTGGACAGATGTCGACCTCTGGCGTCAAAACTTCGCCAAGAAGTTTTCCTCTGTTAACTTGACGCGCCTGCCACGTAGCTCTAACTTCCTGAAGAACCAGCGGCTTCCCAGCAGCATCTTCAGTCGTTTAACACTTTCTCTGCTCATGGTTAGTCCAGTTTTCCTCCCGGAGGTCTCGGAAGCGACAAGACTTAGGTTAACCGCGGACTGAGGAGCCCTCAGACCTCAGACTGCTGCATCTGTGTGTCCCGTCTCACAGCGGCCTCCGCCTCCCGGTTCCTGTCCGGACAGATGGTCTATGGTTGCGCGGTGAGTAACGGGTCTGTACAAGTCCACAACAGAAGCTAGTGTTTAACCAGATCTGGTCTCTGCTCAGACAAAGATACTTATACCAAAGGACTGGTGGGGTGGACCCGGTGGAGGAGTGTGACTGAAGTATTTCTGTTCTAATACTTTATTTGTCTGCTGCTCAGTTCAGAGGGAAACACTTTGTACCACATTGATGGGATTACAGTTATAGAAACAGTTGATATAGAGCTGATCAGTTATGATGCTGCAGATTAAACAACACAACTGTATACTGTGGTTAAGTTCAAACTTCACCTGACAACTGCTCCTTAAATGTTGATGCATTAATACAATAAAGTGTCAGTGTTATAACACTTTAACTTGAGTAAAGGATTTCAATATTTCCTCCACCACTGGAAAAACCAGCTTTGACTCTTAGTTGCCTCTCAGTAGGAGGTCTGTACGAATATTTCTCTTTGCTGCATTGATATAAAGCACTTTATTAATTTTAAGTCATTAATTATTAATTAAATTAAATTATGAATAAAATTATGAATTAATTAATATTATAACCGTATACTGTAATAGAAAGAGACTAATAGAGTAAAATCAAACGAGCACTGATGAAATCACTTGAGTAAATGACAGAAAATTGATTAACTGTTCAAGAAGCATACTGATGTTAATGATCCTGTGATCCTGAGCCTATTGATCACTGTTGGGAACATTAGGATCACAGACTGCACCTTAAACAAGTGAGGACATGAATAATAACAACATTAATAATAATAACAACAACATACTTTATTTTGATAGTACTTTAACAAATGAAGTTACAAAGTTTTATACATTCTTAATTGTGTGTACTTGGTGGAGCCAGAGACCACGCAATAGGCACACATGAGGCTCTGTGTCAACCTTACACTGTAAATGTCATGTAAATTAAATGATTGTCACACAAGAGTTAAGTCCTGTTTCCAGTAGGTGGCCCTGTGACTATTAATATTACTATACAGATGTCTACAATGTGAGACTGTCATCAAACGTGAAATTTGGGGAAGATTGGACAATATACAATATTGTGCACATTTATGCACATTGCTTGGTGTCCTGGTTGACTCCGCCTACCTTAAATGGCTGACTGGCTGCACCTGTGAGGAGGAGCATATAAGCCAGGCTCCTTCTCCCCTCTGGCTGTCTCCCTGGACAGCAGAAATCCAGCCATCCTTTCTTTTTGTATATTTTGTCTTTCACCATACAACATCACACACACATGGCTTTCTCTGCATTCAACACGTCCATCACACACTGACAATTGACCTCAGATGCCATAAACTGTGGTTGTTATTATCTTGAATTAAAAGAGATTTTAACACAAGTTTACCTCCCATAATTGATATGACTTCAATCTGCTGGTCATAACAAAAGCATAATCGAGGTGGGTATTTTCTGACCAAGTTTGAGAAGGATCAGGTCAGCCTGCTAGGAGGAGTAAATTAAACAGTAAAACATGATGTTTCCTGTTATCATTAAGTGGTGCTTTGAATATTACTAACAATGGTTTGTGTTCAGGTCAGTACTCTTATCAAACATGTAAAGTTTGTGGAAGTTTGGACAGTGTGTACTGGAGTTATAAAAATGTCATGTAAATCAAATCATAATTGTCACACAAGAGTTAATTCCTATTTCCAGTAGGTGGTGCTGTGACTATTAATATTACTATGCAGATGTCTACAGTGTGTGACTGTCATCAAACGTGAAAGAAAGGGAAAAGGAAGATTGGACAATATACAATTGAGTTAAAGCCACTGAAGATATTGGATTTTTGCTTGCATTGCACCATGCAACAAGCACACGTGTCTGTAAAATCCCAGCCAGGTCAGGGGACATGACACATCAAAATGTAATGTGCTACGGATTCCACACCATTCAGCGGAAACTCACAAGGTCAGCAGGAAAGCATCATCTAGGTGTAAAGCATACTCTGACCAAGTTTGGAGAAGATTGGACAAAGTATGTCAGCGTTATAACCACTCCCTTTTTCAGAATAAAAAATATAGCATAGAGATGTGTTCAGGGTGGATCTGTTGTCAAACCTATAAGGTTTGGGGACAGATTGGAACATGTGTCTTGGAATGAGAGCAAGCTGAATTTTCATGGCAATTGATCAAAATTTTGCTGTGCTGCCACGGGCATGTCTTTTGACCAAAACTCAAAAGGTCTTCACTGTAGTATTGCACCGGTCAGAAGTTGGAATTGGACAATATGTCATGGACATAAAGCCACTTCCTGGTTCATATTTAAGTCGCTGCCAGAGCCACACCCTTTAAGGAAAGGTCACAACCATGAGCGTGACCCATGAAATACGTAAATTTACACCAGGCCTGACGTGTGTGCAAAGTTTCAATAGTGTCCTTGCACCCTTTGGTGCTCGGGCCCTTATAATATATAAAGTACACAAAAAGCTAAAACAGTCAAATTATTAAAGAACCAACAGCTGATAAGACAGGTTTCACTAAAGGTCTGCTGACACACTTGTTGAGCTTTTGACCATAGCACCAGGTCTTCATCAACAGATGAAGGTTGATAATAAGTTTTAAAAAAACAGGTTTAGACGAGAGGTAGGCTCAGTGGAAATCCACACATTTACACAAGAAGTTCAGCTGACTCATTGTCAGGAGCTATACTCAGCAGGGGGGGTTCCCTAACCCTGATGATGGCATCATGTAGTCTGACAGATAGACTACAGATAGACTACATATTAATAACAGAGATGTAGGATCTATTATTTCTGGAGCTTGACTCACGGGATCTAAAAGTCAGGATGTCCTACTGGTGTCTTTTTTTCTGTCTCTCATGAGTTTCAAGACTGTGTTGAAGTACAGTACTGCACAGCTGGAGTCATTCTGACAGAGAGGACCAGGACAGCTAGGCCCGTCAGAGCTCTGAGGGCTATCAGTCACATTTTAAAATCAGCTGTAGAAACAAACAGAAGCCAGGGACATGTGGTCTGGTAAACTTCTGTTGTACTGAATGTTAAACTATGAAGCTATCAACAAACAAACAAACTAAATACATCAGTGAGTCACTGTTACACTGACATGTTCCTTCATTTTGAAGAATGTTTTTTTTTGTTTGCCTCTCCAGTTTTTTGAAGTTAGAATTAGAAGGTGAGGTGCTCTGTACCTGGCTGTGGGAGTGATTATCTGTCAGTTTATTGTGTCCACCCTGAAGAAGGTCTCAGACTCTGTGGGCCTCAGGGGAGCTCAGAAGTCAGGGTGGTGTGTGACACATCAAAGTTCATGCTGGTCTCATTAATGGCAGCGTCTACATTCTGCCTCAGTTGGCATTGTTGGTTCTGCTTGAGTGCATTAGAATTATTCTAGCTAGAGAAGCAGTGGAAACAGATTCCTGAGCACGCTCAGTGACCTCTGTCTTACAGGAAGTACTCTGCAGAGACTAGGTGATCTCTGTTGTCAGTCCTAATAAACCACAGTGTGTGTGTTCATGGTGATGAAGGAACATGTCAGTGGAAGAGTGACTTACCGATGTGGAGACAGTCACTGTTGATTGGTGACAGTAACACATGACATAACAACACATATGATACAACACAACACTAAACAAACTACCTGATTTCTACACAGCTTTGTGTTATGTTGAGTCCATCTCAAGTGGACTCCTTGATGAAATCATGCAATCAGCAGGACAGTTGCCATGGGGATGGGGCTGCAACGGGCTCTTTGGGCCCCTCTGTCCTTTGACTGAGGAGGACACCTGACTCCCTGTGGGTGTGGGATAAGGAAGATGGTGTGTTATTATTTCTTGTTTGCTTGTGTGTTACAGACGATGTCCAGTCCTGCAGTCTGACTGGGATTTGTTCATAACGGGACACAAGCAATGGGTAAGAAAATAAACTTTACTCTACAACATGTTTATTTCTACTCTGATGTAAAGGAAGGTACAGATGTCCCCTGTAGGTTAATCTGTGAAAGTCAGTGCAGAGACCTAGATATTCTGGTGTTGAAGCTGATGATAACATGCCTTCTACTACATTTAGACATTAAAATAAAATTGAACTGTCAAGTTTTTGTTTGAACTGTATATGAGTGTGAAGACAATGCAGTGAACCTCAATAACATATAGAACATTTGTGTCAATAGATTCTGCACATCAGAGACTCACAGGTTAATGTAATGAACAGCTGCAGAGCATTTCACATATCAAATCTTCATTACTGATGAGGAGACCAACTAAAACATGACAGGGACTGCACACAAACCATTCTGAGACTGGATGTATTACTATTTACTTACAGGATATATTTCCTAAACATGGACTGAAAAGTGCTGAGACACAGTAAATTTACAGACAGTGACGTTATCTTATGTATTTGAAAAGGACCATGCAGAATATTAAGGCATGTTAAACACTTTGTAAGGTTAATTTACACCTTTATCTTAGTAAAGAATTGATGACACTTATGTTGTATGAATTAAAGCTCCTTGTTTTAGAGACAGTGCATGTAGTGCGTAGATTTTCCTGCTGGATTCATCTCTCATTCTAACCTCACCAAGACATAAACCTGAGTTATTTTATTCAATCAATCACTTTATTTGTCCCCAGTGGGACAATTGAGTATGAAGCAGTGGGACATATGCATAAAAACATAAAAACACAGGGCACATAAATACAACACCATGACCAAAAGATAAAGGACAGTAAATTAATAAAAACAAAACAGAAATTAAGAAGTTAATTGTAGATCAGAAGTTTCCTCCTAGAGTTTAGAAGGGAGATGTCAGAGGGTATAAAAGAGTGTTTGGATCTGGGAGTCAGAGGAGGGAACCAGAGGGCAGAAACTGAAACTGCTGATGCAGAGGGTGGATTCATCAGTCTTAAGATGACTTTGTGTTGTGGAGATCTTGCAGATTAACCTGCTGAACTAGTTACCACCTTATTTTGTATATTTTAATTTGATTTTGAGAGATTGAAACCAGCAGATGAAAGTGAACGCGAGAACAGATAAAACATCAGGGTCCTGTCAAAATGAAATTTTGAAAGCTGCTGGCTTGTGTCCCCCCCGCCCCCCCAGGTTGTTCGATCCTGCTGTTGACCAGCTTGGTGTCCACCCTGGGAGGTCTGGTCTTTGGTTATGAGCTTGGCATCATCTCTGGTGCCTTGTTGCAGCTGAAGGTGGAGTTCAGGCTCTCGTGTGTCCAGCAGGAGGCTCTGGTTAGTTCTTTGTTGATTGGAGCTCTACTGGCCTCCACTGTGGGAGGCTGCCTGATTGACCGACATGGCCGCAGGATTGCCATCCTCCTCAGCAACATCCTGATCCTGACCGGCAGCCTGGTCCTGCTCATCAGTTCCTACCCTGCACTGGTGGTGGGCAGAGTCACAGTGGGCTTCGCCATGTGTATATCTTCTATGTCCTGCTGCATCTTTGTGTCTGAGATGGTTTCCCCGGATCACAGGGGCTTTCTGGTGACACTGTATGAAGCTGGGATCACTGTTGGCATCCTGGCAGCTTATGCCATCAACTATTTCCTGTCTGAAACCAGGGGAGGGTGGAGATGGATGTTTGGATTTGCTGTGGTTCCGACTTTGGTTCAGCTGGTCTCTATCTGGTTTCTTCCATCCAGCACTAAGGACTCTGTAAGCCGTGCCTGCTGTCAGGCTGAGAGATACCTCATGAGTCCCACTGAAACCCCAGAGGAAGAGGATTCCAGCTGGGAAACCAAGAAGGTTCAGTATAACAGCTGCTCGCTGTTCCAGTGTAAAGACAACATGAGGACTCGGACTGTCATCGGACTGGGACTGGTGCTGTTTCAACAGTTCACAGGTCAACCAAATGTCCTTTTCTACGCCTCCACCATCTTCCACTCAGTAGGTTTTCAGAGTGATGCCTCAGCAGTGCTGGCCTCTGTGGGCCTGGGGCTGGTCAAAGTGATTGCCACTCTGACCTCCATGGTGTTTTCAGACAGGCTGGGCAGGAGGCCTCTGCTCATCAGTGGATGCACTGTTATGGCTGTGTGTCTGATAACCATTGGAATGCTCAGTGGACAGTCAGTGATGAACACTCAGAGGCCGTGTGACTCTGAGTTCAGTGTTAACATGACAAACCTGCCTCATTTACCCTCTGGTCACAGGTCAGTTGTTGACACACCTCTTGATGAGAGCTTCAGGCTTCTTCATACCAACACACAAGATGAAAATGTTGTATTTGATAAATCTGGACCAAAACCACTGGAACCTGCTCCAGAGTCTTCGAGCATCATTGTGAACTGGATCATTCTGCTGTGTATGATGGCTGTGGTCAGTGCGTACTCCATCGGATTTGGACCAAGTTTGTATATTCACTCCAAATGAGTCTGAAGAAATTCATCTCCTTTTCTTCATTGATTTTCATATTCATTACAGCTACAACTGAACTGTCAACATAAGGCATAAAGCATTTTGTAGCTGCTAAGCTGCTAGTAGGGCTGGGTACCACTTCTGATTTCCCGATTCAATTCTGATTCACAAGATCCCGATTGGATTTGATTACAAAATATTAATTTTTTTTGGATGTGAATGAGAACTAATGCTGTAAATTGTTCCTCCAACCTGGTGCATTATTAACTAGAATTATCTCCTCATGTTTGTATGCCTCTGCCACTAAAGACTAAATTTAGGTTACATCCTTTTTTATCCAGAGTCATATAAATTATTAACAATTTGTGTGAAATTTTGTCATAATTGCTGTGTGAGGACTTGAGTAATTGAGTAATCACTCAAAAAGTGTTTGCTGAGGTCATGGTGACCTTGACCATCCTTGACAGTCATTGAGTCCAACGTTTGTATCAAATTTGAAGGGATTCCCTTGAAGAGCTCTGAAGATTATTCTCACAAGGCCAAAATCATGTTTTGTGAGGTCAACATGACCTTAACCTTTGACCAATCAGTTTGCCCTTGAGTCCAAGTGAACATTTGTACCAAATTTGAAGAAGTTCCTTCAAGGCCTTAGAGAGATCCTACATTCACAAGGCAAAAACCATTTTTTGTGAGGTCACCATGCCCTTGACATTTGAACTTTGACCTTTAGCCAACAAATTCTAATCAGTTTGTCTTTGAGTGTAGATGAATGTTTTTACCAAATTTGAAGAAATTCCCTCAAGGCGTTACGGAGATATTGCGTTCACACCGCCAAAACCGCGTTTTGTGAGGTCACCGTGACAGTGACCTTTGACCTTTGACCACCAAAATCAAATAAGTTCATCCTTGAGTCCAAGTAAGTGTTTGAAGAAGTTCAAGTTCCATCAAGGCGTTACTGAGCTATCATGTCCACAAAGCCAAAACTGGCTCTGGCAGTTGCCAGCACAGAGGCATAAAAATATTAGTGTTTACATTAAGAATGGACCCAAAGCAGTTTCAGGAATGCACTTTTCAATTTAACGTGATCAACAGTTGAGAAAGTAATAGGTAGGTCATGAATGTGTGTTGCTAACATACCCCAGTGCACCAGCTACAGTGTGAACCACCAGGTATACACAGCTTTTTCTTCCTCACATCTTGCATGTAGCTTTGCTTTTTTACAGCTCTTCACTTTCTTCATAACTTTTAAATCTGAAATACAGCCACATCTGTCCTTAAACCTGAGTATTCAGTGGAGCTGCGTTGGCCATGTTTTAGTCTCTCATGTGACCAGATCTCGTGCAAGAAGGCTGGTCATGAAACACTAATGGGGTCATGACTTCACATGTCCACAGGAGACTGTAAAAGACACATTCAAAGTTTGATCTCTGGATTTTATAAATCGATATTGGATTATTCAAATGAAGATTGATTTGAATCGGAGAATCTATTTTTTCAGCCCAGCCCTAACGATGCCTAGTGTAGTATTAGTCTTCAAAACAACATCCACATACAGTACAGCCTCACCTAACCTAACACCATTGTGTTATTAGAGCTTGGAAACTCTTTTTGTCTTTCAGTGACCTGGATTCTTCTGAGTGAAATATTTCCAGCTGCTGTCAGAGGAAGAGCCTTCGCTTTCACCAGCTGTTTCAACTGGGCTGCCAACCTGTTGATCACATGCACTTTCCTCAATGTTATTGGTGAGTTCCAACACACCTTTCTCCTGGAGTACAGGTGCAGGTCTAACCAATAACATGAATGGTGGTTCAGTTCCCTTTACACTTCCCAGTAAACCAGGCAGCAATACCAATATCAACCACAATCAGACCTATCACATGGATCAATTATAGTGATTAATTATACTTGTGCTTTTCATTGACTGATGACGCAAAATGTAAGTAGTAATTCCCAGGCCTGTGTATCTGATCAAAAGAATCAGTTCAACAACAACATTAATCATCCTTTAGGTTGATATTACAATATACTACTAATACTGGCATTCAGCCAGCTAGCGATAGCAACATTTTCCGAGCAGATTAATAATGTAGCTGTCACTAATGAAAACAGACATATAACATTATGACCCATCAAGTTACTGACACATGAAAGAGAAGAAAAAAGCATTCTGAGTCCAGCTGGACCCTTAAGCAGGTCATAGTGTTCTCTTCTCAGTATTTGTTCAGACCAGTATTTGTTTCACGGTCAGCCTTGGACTGATCCACTGGTACCAGCTGCATAAATGACACTGACAGAGCCGCTAAAGACCTTATGGATTTTTTGAACGTCCACCAGCTGACCTCGATTTGAGTCGGTAGTCCTCCTGGGTAGTCCTCCCATGTCTAGTCCACCTGGGCCCTGGTCTCAAAAATGTGGTTTTCTTCTTCAGTGGAGGAAATTCTGAAGGTTGCTTTCACTGCACTGAGACCATCTCACCTGTGGGCGGAGGCCCAACGCTTTAACGAGGGACTCACATGCACTAACATGGACATGTATGTGCATTAACATGCACACGCTACCAGACCAGCTACCAAAACAAAGACCAGAGAAACACACAAAGGGGGTGTGACTTTGTTCTCTGCTCAGGATGCCATTACTCACAATTCAGTCAACTGCTCAGCCTCAGTCAGGAACTAAAGTCCATCTAGACGATAAAATATAGTGTTAAAAACATCCAGGATCTAAAATCTGGATAGTCTGTGTGATCAGAGCTGTCGACTGTACTGGGAGCACTGTTAGTCCTTCTGTTGCTCATCAAACACAGGTGTAACTGATTCCATTGAGGATTCCTGTCAGGTGTTAGAGCTCCAGAAACCTGGCACTGAGCATGTTGACTCACTGGTATGAGTTAAACTGAATGTTACACTGAAAAGAGCTCCTGAGCTCTTCCTTGTATGACAAGTCAAAAACGGTCTATGATCACTCACCACACTGATACATCCAAACAGGAGAGAGAAACATGTCAGTCAGGTGCAGTCTGTTCACACAGAAGTGGAGACACCTGTGTGGATGGAGACTGACTGTAGATAAGAAAAATACATTGTTACCTGAAAGTAACTTTAAGAGTTAAAAAAACAATAAAAAATTAGTAAGTTCTACTGAAAAAGGTAAAATTAGTTAATGGACTGTCTGTCGTAAAACTGATGAAGATGAATGAACAAACAGAGTGAACATGCAGCACAGACACAGATTAAACAGAATGTATAGTTTGAATAGTGATTTAAACATTTAGATTCTCTTGAGGCCATAACATTACCTCCCTACATGACTTTGCTGAATCTTCATGCCTGTCAAGCTCATGTGAGTTACAGGTGAAAGTCAAGGTGATCAGGAGGTGAAATGTGATTCTGATGAACAGATAGGATCGGTTTGTCAAAGGTATTTTTCCTGTACGGGGTGACCGCTGTGGCAGCTGGGATCTTCTTCTACTTCCTGCTGCCAGAGACCAAAGGGAAGACTCTGGAGCAGATAGACCAGGAGCTGCGTTTGAACAGGTGAGCTCTATACTACACCTGTTTGATGAAGACAGAGAGCTGTACTCCGCTCTCATCATGGGTGGTGCCATACTGAGACAGTGCTGTGTCTTGTTCTGCAGGTTTCACCATGGTGAGCAGTGCTGTGGCTGCATCAGCCGCAGACAGACCTCCCCACAGTACCAGCAAGTGCACTGTCAGGTGAGCCCCTCAGGGTGAACAGAGACATCACTACACATACTGAGGACTCTACAGGAACAAAGAGGTCCATCCCGCTCTGACGGCTGATGACTGAAACACTAAAACTTGTGTGTGTATCTTTATGAAACTTGTTGATAAAGTGTGTTTTCTTCATGTGTTTTAATCAGATCAAAGTGACACTGTTTTTAGGATTTAAAAATTTTTTACAATATGATCTTATTTTCATACTTGGACCAATGTGTCTGATATTTCTATGTTTATTTGGCAGCATTGGTCCACATAGCTTCATACTGTAGGTCCAGGGTTTGTCCTGATCAGCCTGCAGTCTAAAGAACCAATCCTCCAACCTGAACAACCATACAGGTTGTTTTTTCAACCCTCTGATTCGACCCACATGAAAAAGCCTCCTGAAAAAGCACCCCTACATTGATAAGTGTACTTGCCTTCATCACCAAGGTTACTATAATAACGGTCATGGCTTGGTCAAGTTTTAGGAAAAGATGGTGATTTGGGTTAAAATAAGTACTTCCTTAACATTAGATGATCTTTGTTGTCATGGTTACATGAAAAACAACATCATTACTTTTGTCGGACAGTCATGGACATAAACAGCTACTTTCACTTGGGAATCAAACACCCATCTCTTGTGTCATATTCATCCATCCACCACAACCTACTCCTGACATGGACTTTGTCTCTCTTTATACTACGTCTCCTATCATGATTACTACGACCACTAGATGTTGCCTAGCAATAAAACGTACCTATGGGTAATAATAACCTGCTGCACAGATGACCTATGGGCTCGCTTTGTACAGGAGGACAGTAACATATGTACCATGTGACCACCTCATGCTGTGGTTTCTTGCCACTCTGATCTGTCAACTGTCAGAGATGAAAATCTTAGAAACATAACTTCAGATGTGAAAAATGTGGATTAAATTTTACAGGTAAAACTGTACCTGTGTATCTTTACTTGGTTTTTCTTCAGGTATTTGCAGTCCTTTAGGGGGTGTCATCTTGATTCAGTTGATCTCTGATCTCTACTACAGAGGAACATAACAGGACAAGATTGAGTCTAAACAAAACATTTATTAACTGTTAACACAAGATAAATAAAACCAGTAATAATCAAGTAAAAATGCAAAGTGGAGCAAAGGAACAATGTTCACCAGCAGCTGATAAAAGTGTAGTAATGAGCTGGACAAAGGTGGGTGATGTGATGAGGCTGTTGACTGTATGACTGTGTTACTGACAGAGACACTGACCAGACGAAGGTTTTGATTATAGCTCCAGAAAAGATCAAACAAAGCACAGGGCTCTTTCCCTCAGGTATCCACTGCAACCATGTGTAACTTGATATTTGATCAGTCCATGTCAGATTTGTTTTCCATCTAACATTCATCAGTAAACTGAAACCTATAGTTTCAAAGGTAGAGATGCTCATACATGCTTTTATTTCTTCACAAAACACTCCTCTGCCCTGAATCACCTGTTAGTAATCCAGATTGCTGCAGCTGTACTTCTAATAGGTCAAATAGATGGTCTCATTTCACGTCCATACTCACTTCCCTTCATGGGCTTCCTGTTACGTTCACTCAGCCCTGAAGCTAAACCCACTGTCCCACTCAGCTGTTTAAAGACATTTGAGGCTGCAGCTCCACACTGATGAGAGCTCTACCTGCTGATTCTGTGGACTCATCTAAAAAGCAGCTACAGATGAATCTATTAAAAAGCCCCTTTAGGTGATCTGTGCACACTAGATGTGTTCCTTATGTGTTTTACTGGATTTTGGATTTCATTGTACTGTATTGTGTTGTATTCCTCTGTGTGTGTTCGCTATGTTTTTTGCAGTTTGACTGATTATTATTATTATTATTTACCTGTTCAAGTAAACAACCTTTGAAGCACTTTGTGGCTCATGTCTGTGTAAAGTGGTGTGTATAAATAAAGTTTACTTACTGAGAGGTCTAAAGTTTAAGAATAAAATAGAGATATCACTGTCCACATCAACCCAGTCTTGTATGTATTAGGTCATCATGTAGAGATTGTGTAAAGAAACAATCCTAATCATATGAAGGGAGATTATACAGTAGGTCTTTAAACATAAATAAAAAGATGACTGTTGTTTATAGGATCCTGATTAGAACCTGTTCATAAATGGTATGGTCTGATTTTTAGATTTTGGCCTCATACTTTAGATTTCACTACCTGATCATTCTGCAGGACATGAACTCTTTCATAAAAACATGTTGAGTGATATTAACTGGTCACAGGGAGCTTCATGTTATGTCAACAATGTGACCGAGTGTTATCAGAAGAGAGGAAGGGTGTGTGTGTGTGTGTGTGTTTGTGTGTGTGTGTGTGTATGTGAAACTTTATTCATGCGCTTATTTACAATATATCCTTAGTCTGACTTTAATAATTATAAATAATTTCTAGTGTTTCTATTATCTTGTGATCATATTGTCTACTTTTCACCTCGTTGAGTATCACTTTTGGATGTCACTCTAATGGAATTTAAAGGCAGGTATTAGCGTTTTTTCTCATATCATATTAGGAACTTTATTCATGGTACTGACAGTGTTGCTTATAATTAACAACTCCACCTGTTTCACATTACAGTTTTTTTTGATTGATTAAGCATGATTTGGAAAACGGCCTGGTTTTGCAAAACACTACACACAATTAGCACAACCACACACCCAATTAGCAGAATACCTCAGATCCTTTGCAAAATGAAACACTCTTGTAAAAACTGTACACTAATTTATAAAAAACATATTTTGTTACCATATGAAACACACATGTTTCATATGACTTAATTCTGTTTGAACCAGTTACACCCTGCTGTGCTTACCCTAAAACACTTTTAGCAATTATACTTCTCAGTGATTAGGGTACTGTAAGTGAAGAACACAGAGAAAGTGCAAATATACAATAAATTCACCAAACACTACACAAGACCAATGCTGCAGACTGATGAAACTATAATTTATTTCTCTCCATATACTCAAATCAGTCAACATGGAGAATCACAACAAAACATGTCCCGGTTTTCATGCTACTACAGTAGTGTGCATAACACTGTAAGCTCAGCAAATATCAGACAAACATAAAATACGGTATCCAGAACAGGTTACAATTACAGTAAAAAAAAAAAAAAAATCTGACAGTACAATACAGTACAGAAAATACTAGACATTATCTCTTCACCTAGCTGGATCTAGCCAGAGAATTTCATCAACATCACAAGCGATATCCTCATTGGCAAGACAACGTGGGAAGAACCATCTAGAATGTCGAATCCATCCTTGCACAGCTGCGGCGTTGATTTGGTCACAAGCCTCCTCCATGGCCTGAATGAGGGGTACCTTAGCCCAGGGCCAGAGATCGTCAACCCTCCACCACCATGCAGAGAAAAACTCTTCGATTGGGTTTAGAAATGGAGAGTATGGTGGAAGGTATAGTAATGTAAACTGTGGATGGTGTTGAAACCAGTTCTGGACCAGAGCAGAGCGGTGGAATGACACATTGACCCAGATGACAATGTATTGCATCTGGTGCATTTGGTTTACTGCTGTGACAATGTTATGCAATCGGTCCAAAAAGTGTGAGAATGTGAGATGTGTTGTAAGGGCCCATAGTGGCATGACAGACAACATGGTCAACTAGTGTTGCGTGAATTTCATTTGATAAATTTGGTCCTCTTCTCCTTTGAGCACGTTCTCCTCCTGCTTCAAGTCTTCCTCTTCCTCCACCTCTGGCACGGCCTCCGCCTCTTCCTCTTCCCCTACCTCCTTCTCCTCTGCCATGGATTCCCCCTCTCACCCTCACTCTTCTTCTACTGACTCCTTCCATTTTGGTTGAAGACAGATGAACTCATGTGCTGCATTTTTATAGTGCTTAAACCTGATTGGTGTGTCTACAAATAAGCAATTTTGTGTTTGCGCACCTGATGGCTGTGTTTAACCAATTGGCTTATGGGTGATGATGTCACTTCCTTGCAATTCGCAAGGAAGTGACATCATGATATCCTGCTGTGTCTAATGTATACAAGTGTGTTTAGTGTTTTGCAAATCACTGTGTGTATTGTTTTGCAAAAAGTGTGAGGCTGACATCGTGCTTATAGTGGTGCAAATCTGGGCTGATGTTTTGCTCTGTGAGTGTAAGGTTTTGATAATTGTGTAATACTTTTGATTTTAGTGTTTATGCAATCGAAAAAAACTGTAACGCTCTCATAGCCGGACAGGTAAACCCAGGGTTAACACAGTCAGTTCATAACCAGCATTATAGTACAGGTTATCAGGACAGTCAATGTTAGGTTTAGTTAAGCCAGATAATGAAAAGTTATCCTGGGTATGTTGAGTACCTATGTACAGACCTCTGGAGAAAACCAAGAAAGACTTCTGAATTTCCTCCAGACCACTGGTTTGTACCACTGGTGTTGTCCAGACTGTGGGGGCACCATCGCTCTGTCCGGACTGCCATACCAAGAAGAAGAAGAAGAAGACGAAGCTGAAGACAAAGTAGACAAAGAAGACAAAGAAGAAGAAGAAGAAGACGAAGCAGAAGAAGAACAAGAAGAAGAAAAAGAAGAAGAAAAAGAAGAAGAAGAGGAACAATAACAACAACAACAACATACTGGACTCAATCAGACACTATATAAATAGGTACACATCCAATTGGTAGATGTGCACACTATGGTCATCCAGAAACTGTTCAGCATGTGTTATTGGAATGTTATGAGGAGGAAAGGAAAGGAAAGATCAGTATTAAAGAAGGCTAAGCTGACTTTCATTGTTGGAAACCTACTTGGAGATGCATCAGGGGAATGTCATTTAATTAAGTATATCAAAAACACACTTGATAAAGAGCATTTCATTTTTTTCATTTATTTACATATTTATTTTCCTGCCAATCTAATGTTCCATGATGAAAAAACAGTTATGAACATGAGATGCAGATAGAACAGTTAAAGTTAATGTCAGACTGTTTCTGCTGTAGAGAGGAGAGAAAGAAAAGAGAAGTAGTTCATGTCTGATGAGTCAGTCTGACTGAAATTTAAAAAAATTATAAATCAGATTTATAATCATGTGAAATATTTAACAGGATGTGTGATCATTGTTCTAATCAAAGACATCAGATGTTTAGTTTTTATTTCCAGTTATCGTTAGTCTCCTAATGTTGTTCTGTGCTACGGTGATGGATGAAGAGCATTAGTACAGTCAGGAATCCTGTCGGATTAAAGAATATTTGTTCAATTAAAATGAAGCTATGATAAACTCTCCTCTGTTTGTTAGAAGCTTTTAAAACTAGCGTGATCCTCAAGTTAACCTGCGCCGGAGAAGGTTAGGAGTTCAGCGTAAGTTACCATGGTGATTCACCCCGGTAACAAGTGAACCACCATCGTAGGACTGAATATTACTTTATATATGAGTTAATCCTGTAGTTACCTTGATAACCTCCAATCCTGCTTTGTAGTACAGGCCTCGGAAACAGTTGAACGTGTATTCACTTGCTTCACTGTAGGTCATACGATATTTAGAAGAATCACCTTTTTCAGTCACTAAGGAGGGCAAAACACAATGATTTTTTGTTGTCTAGGTCTCTCGGGGAACTCTGCAAGAAAGATATACGTGACATTATTCAATTCATAAACGAAACTGGTTTAGCCAAAAAAAATATGATCCACACTCCAATTCAGTCTGTAATGGTAATGCACTTATAAGCTGGTTTGCCAATCCCCAATAAACACCAAAGAAGGAGAAGAAGATGATGATGATGAAGAAAAAGAAGAAGAAGAACAGGACACCTCCTTAATCTTATTTGTGATAAGGTATTTGTGAGAAGTTGTCCAGACCTTTTTCCAGTAAATGTCATTCACAAATCGATTCAAGTATGCTGCAACATGGGGGATAGAGACAACATCTTTTTGAAAGAGGGCACGTATATCTCTATTATTGTTATGGGGATGCAGTGAGAAACAAGTCTTACCCACTGGAGAGTCAGCTGGGTTAGCTCTCTGCCTGTTTTATTTATTCATTTATTATTATTATTATTATTACATTACATATTCAAAGTAAGGCACAAAAAAGTAGCCCTACATAATTAACAAATAAAGACAACAAATATGCACAGTGCCAGGGGTTATAAATATATAAGTTTTACCCAATCAAATACAGATATATATTTTTTAAAGTATAGTGCCCATTCATTTCTGTAGAAATTGCTCGCGAATAGGCCGAAAAAGTTTATGCTTTCCGGGTTATCTCCTCGTTCCCGAGACACAGCTCGACCGCGCGGAGAGTGCACGTACACAGCGGTGACATCATCCGGAAAAAATACTTTTCTGGGTTTTTTGTTAGCTTTGGAAATTTTTTACAAAGATTAAAAGTCCACGGCTTAAAAATATACAATACAAAAATAAATAATTGACTGTGTTTACAGCCGGAGGTGTCCTGTCAACAGTTTTACAAGCGTCTCTTTTACTATTGTGGTCTATGGGAAAAATGCTTTTTGGGCTGCAGGGGATTTTTCGCTGCAATACCGAGTGGCCATTTGGAAACATTGGCTGCAAGGCAGAGCGGCGGCACCGTATTCAGTTCTTATAATACATCCATGGCTTCCTGTCCTCTCCTGTAAACGAGGATGGCGCTGGATGTAAACAGCGTATCAGTTTCATAGCTCCGACACCATGGCCGCTCTTGACAGTCTGTAGGAGTTAACGGAGCAGCGTCTGTCTGCGGCGGTGGAGGAGATATTCGAGTTTTTCCGGAAGACTGTCGCCGACTTTGAGGAGGAGATCAGGCTGCGGAGAGAAGGTGCGTTTTCATGCCACTGCTTCATTTAGCTAGGTTATGGTAGCAGCCAGCAGCTAACACTTAGCCTCTGCTCTACGAGGTGGGTTCCACAGCCAGATATAATGTCAGTGTATCTGTGCTGTGATGATGGGAGTCATCTGCCCACCCGGTGTTTGGGTACAAACCTGCAGCTCACTCCAGCTCCATGCTTCAGGGTCACTGTGGTGGTCCCGAACAAGTCCAGTTCCAGACCAAACCTGCTGGACGTTTCCAGTATATTAGCTGGAACATATGGGACCTGTTTTGTTACCTGTGCTCCTCCCGGTCTGTGGAGACGTGTATGAGATGAACATAAGTGATCCTGGTGTTCTGGCCTCTGACCTTTTATTTGTATTGACAGGAATAAAACAGATCATGAAGCATCAGAGTTGCCTGAAGACTGTAGTGTCAGGACTTTTTTGTCAGTTTTCTCCCAGCTGATCACAGGAAAACATCTGAACCTTTTTCTTTATTTGATTAAATATTTAGTTTTGGTGATGGCAGTAAAGGACACTGATTCTGCACATCAGAGTTTTTCCAGAATGACTACATATGTTAAAACAGTTTGAAGCCTCTATTGTCTCCAGAGGGAGCTGAGTGATATCTGATAAATGTCCTCAAGTGATGTCTACAGTGGTCCTGAGAACACAACACACTGCAATTTAAAAAAACATACAAACAGACAAAACACAAACACATTCAGAAAACATTTTCATAATTTTTTTTATTTTTTATTACAATAGCAACAGTGGGAGAGAGAGAGTGGATAAGATGCAGCAAAAGGCCAAGGTTTGGACTAACACCTGGCCCGCTGCGGACTATACCTTCATGGTATGCGCTCTGCCAGCACATATTTGCAGCACGTGTTGTCAAATTGATGAGGGTGTTTTCTGTATTTGTTTGTGTTTTGTCTGTTTGCATGTGTTTTCTTATGTTGCAGTGCTACATTGAAGCTGAAGACACAATTCTGTGAAGTAAAAAAAATCTGTGGGTGTGGAGTTAGAGAGAAGTGATCTGACCACACCTCTGCAGCCCAGAGGTACTAACATAAGAAGAAGAGGAAGAAGAGGCGGGACATCAGCAGTGATCTCCTGATTTGACTTCAGTTCACAAAGTCAAGAATCGATTCATTGTGATTTTGATTAGATTCTTGATGATTCAGTCACATCACAAACGTGTTGCATAAAGAGTTTTTTGGAATTTATCAACAAGTGAGCAGCTCTGTTGTTTATTTAAGTATAAAACTGTCACATTATAGGCTTCATTGTAAACACATTCCCTGATTATAAAACTGTGGACCAGGCCTAAAGAATAAAACATGATGCATCTGTATGTTTTTAGATTGAGTAAGTATAATAAAACACCTGCCCTCACTTAGATGGGCGTCATCGTTCTGCATAATTACAAAATAAATAGTGTTCAATGCAGTGACACACGGGGCGTCAGTAGCAGATGATTCAGCTGAGCACAGACCTACAATGTAATGGTCAGTGAGCTTACAGCTGCTAGTAGCAGGGGAAGACTGAATCCTGTTCATCTCCATGGCCTCACATCTCATAGCCAGAGATAGAATCTCTTCAATAAACACAACCTTATCCCAGATCAGTCTGCAGTCTGTTTTCAATCTGTCCCTCTGAATGATATGGTCATGGTGAGTCTGACAGTGTTGTCTTAACTGGTGGAGCACTGTTAGAAGTGGGGGAAGGGAGCATGTTAACATGAAGTCCCTCATGTTTGTGTCTTTGTCTGTTGCCCCTGCAGATGTCCCTTCCCTGACTGTGAAGGCGAAGATTCCCCCCGAGCAGCAGTGGATCAAACCCAGTCTGCACCAGGTGGACCCACAGCTCCCACACATTAAAGAGGAACAGGAGGAAGTCTGGACCAGTCTGGGGGGAGAGCAGCTCCAAAGGTTGCAGGAGGCTGATGTCCTGGATTTCCCTCCTGTCTTTGTGAAGACTGAGGAGGACATAGAGGCTGATCAGATGTGACTGTGGGACTGTGAAGGATCAGAACCATCCAGAGACAACAGCACCTTAGACTGTTCTCAGCCACAGAGGAAGGACAGGGAGGAGTGGAATAGGTTGAATGACAGGAACATGTGTAAAGGACTGGTGACATATGAGAGTGGCAGAAACCTTACTGCAGACCACTGCAGCAGAGTGTGGTGTGAGGTCACCCACCAGAGACAAACCCTTCAGTCATGTTTCAGTCACCCTGCTCCTTTAAATCACATATGATGAGCCACAGGGGGGAAAAAACCACTTAGTGGGAGTGTGTGCGACTGAAGTTTCACTCACAAAGCACAGGTCCAGACTCCTAATCCAGCAGTAAGTGAAGCTGCAGAGCTGCTGCATTATTCAGCACTAAAACAACACAACACATTTCCATAGTTGTGGAAAGAACAACGTGGGACTGATGCAGGTGCAATGTTCCAGTTCTCTGTCTGAATGATGTGATATTTGATTCTCTCAAAAGTTACAGTCTCATTATAACAATTCTTTTGTCTTTTAGTGTTTTTAAAACCCATAGTTTTTTTCCTGGTATTTGACATAGATTGTCTTCTGTGTGAGCTATAGAGGCTGTAAGTCCACCTACAGAGACTGACCTATAATCAGATAAAATGTTTGTTTGTCAAGCAACAACATCTGGTGGTTCAGATGGAGTTTGGAGTCAGATGTGAGGATCGTGTGTTTTTATCTCTAAATGAAATATATTTGGACGGTGAGATGTATCAGGAACTAAGGTTGAACGATTAATCGCATTTGCGATTATATATGATAAAACAAGATTTTTTAACTGCAAAGGCTGCGATTACCTTCTGGTCACATGACATGCAAGCGAGTGTAGTCAGCTAAAAGAGGGAGTAACAACTGGGCACGCTACACTTTGACCTGTTGTACAATGGCCTCAGGCTCGACAGAACCTGGCACTGCGGAAACTTTAGTGTCAAAGAGGAGCAGTACGTCGGTTGTGTGGAACTATTTCGCTTTAAAAAAAGAAGATGCTGCACAGCGTCAGGTATTGTGCAGAACCTGCCTTGCTACCGTTGCTACCTCACGGGGCAACACCACTAACCTGTATCAGGTTAGTACTTAAAAAAAACACCACAAAGCCATGTACGATAGTTGCATTGCTAAAATTCCGACCACCAAGTAAGCCAAATACCACCTGACAAGGATCACTGACCGAAATGTTTGAAAGAAATACCTCAATATGAACGTAATTCAAAACGGCATGGGGGAATTACTCAGGCAATAACAGAGTTTATAGGGAAAGATATTATGTCTCTCAGCACGGTGACCAAGCCTGGGTTTACGGCTTTGATAAACACACTGGAGAAGCGGTACAGTATGCTCTTCCACACATATTTTAGCAAGGTTGCTGTATCGGAGTTACATAAAAAATGCAACTGAGAGTCACAGCAGAGTGTTTCGCTACAACTGACCTGTGGTCAAGCCGTACAGCGGAGCCCTATCAGAGTCTTACGGTGCATTTCATTAATGAAGGCTTCGACCTCGAAGCTCGCTGCCTTCAAACTGCCTACTTTCCAGACGGCCACACAGGGGAAAACATTGCAGCTGGCTTACAGGAGGGGCCTGCCAGCTGGGATCTCCATGAAGAGAACCATGTCTGCTAACAATCTTACATACCTACACGGCTAAGTTAAACAGATTAGTCAATATACTACTGTGATTGAAGCTGTTGAATAAAAATAGGTCATTCATATAAATTCATGCATCATCTAATTTCATGACATAGGCTATAGGCCTGGCCTACAGGAAAGAATAGTTTATGTTTAATCTATCTAATATTGTGTTAGTCATAAAATAGAATGATTTATTCCTTGTGTTTGTTGAATAATACAGAAGATAAGGAACTTAAAAAAATAATTGCATATTAAATCGCAATCACAATATTGGTAAAAATAAAACGCAATTAGATTATTTTCCCAAATCATTCAGCCCTATCAGGAAGTGCAAAAAAATGCATCTTACAATAATGATGGAAAGTGACAAGAACAAGCAGATTCTGATGACGGCAACCTGAAGTCAGAAGTTGGGTGGAGGAGCAGGGGCTTCGTCTCACTGGGGTTGATGAGAATAATTTCATTAAAACAAAAAGTGATTTTTGTAACAAGTAGATTTACTGTGATTTGTGAACAGTGAGAGGACAGTTCTGCAGGGAGATGGATATAAATGTTTTATACAGAGAGAAGACTGACTGGTCCTGATCCTGAGCAGAGACATGAAACAGACAATGAAACACAGCAAATCAATAATAAAGCAATGAAAACAAAACACCTCCAGTTTAGTTGATATTAGCTTTTTCATATGTTATTGCAGATCAGGTCTGGAAAGCATTTCAGACTGACTGACTGACTGTAGAATCCGTGGATTAAAAAAACAAAAAAACAAATGTGACCTTAACATGCTTTCTCAAGTTGGATGGGGAATTTTTTTTGTCAGTGATGAAGTCTGGTTGTGGTAAACACAGCAAACATTTCAAACTAAATGAATCTTTCTTCAGATCAGACCACATTTTCACATTAAAGAAAATTCATTCCACTGACTAAAAGCTCTGCTTCAAACTAAGTACTTTGTAGAAATGTAGTCGAGTCAAAAGTACAATATTTGTCTTTAAGATAGATAGATAGATTGATACTTTATTTATCCCCTAAGGGAAATTCATAAAGTGTAGTGGAGTAAAAGTTCTGTTTCTAAAAAAAAATCTCAAGTAAGGTTCAGATACTGAAAAATGTACTTAAATAGAGTGCTCAAGTAAATGGATACTGGACTGGGGATTATAAGGACTATAGGACATCTATAATACAACAGTAGGTGGCGGTAAAGCTCCGTGTGGCTGCAGTTCTCCAGTAAAACAAAGAAGAAGCTTTAGTTGGCGCATGCTCGAGGCTTCGAGTGGGGTCTTCGTTCACGGTGACAGATTCCTGTCCACTTCACCGGTGAGCACCAGCTGTCCCCAGTCATGTCCACTATCCAGCTACTGAGAGCCTTCGTCAACCAGAGACTGACGGTGGCCGTGGAGGAGATCATCGGCCTGTTCGAGAGAACCATCACTGAGTACGAGGAGGAGATCGACCGCCAGCGCAGGCTGCTGGGAGCCGAGGGGCGGCAGTATGAGCCCGGCATCAGGGCGGCCATAGACCACCAGACAGGTCTGTCACTGAGGTGATCAGTCTCCTCTTCATCAGGTCTGTAGAATAGGTTCTTGTCTGCAGGGACAGCGGACTGTGTTCAGCCTTTCTGCTGGTTTAGCTTCATGGCTAACGTTAGCTTTAGCAGCACAGACCGACAGTCAGTTCAGAATAATCAAACACATGTTGACAGTTAATTTATCAGCTGTTTGTAGTCTCAGTCCTGAGATCAGCATTCCACGTTAGGTTTAGTCTAATTTAATCTTATTTCATCTACATCACAAGTTTTAGTCCGTTAAAACTATTTAAAACCAAATTTAAGTCTCAACATGATCAAATCCAGTGAAATCTCTGTGAGAATATGAGTCAGTCACAAAATGATGAAGTGAAAGAAACCTTCAAAAAGGAAAAAGAACCAACAGCTCTGCAGTCAATCAAAGCAATAATGTTCAGTTCAGTCTGGACTGAGAGGAACCGGTTTTATTCTGAGAATGTTCTCCTGAGAATTCTGAGATGTTGTAGTGTTGTATTAGACTGTGTTATACAGGAAGTGTTTATAACAGGTTGTTCACTGCCAACAGACAATCGTCTACATCACATACTGTTCATTTAATAACCAGCAGATGTCTCATAATAACATGAACAGGAGCTGAAGTATGTATGTCACTCAGCTTCTGTGTGCTTTAGCAGCGATAGCAGGTTTAACATAACAAAACAAACCTGTGTTAGCTAAATTTTAGCTGATGTGAGATGCTAACAGATGATGTTACACCACTGATTTAATAAATGGATGGATAGATAGATAGATAGATAGATAGATAGATAGATAGATAGATAGATAGATACTTTATTTGTCACAATTATAAATTATAAACAATAATAGTTAAATTTGTCCAGTTCATGAGCCACTGTCTTTGGCTGAGGTGTTCTACAGCCTGATGGCAGTGGGGACAAAGGATTTCCTGAACCTCTCTGTTCTGCAGCGCAATGAGATGAGACATTGACTGCAGCTGTAACTGCTTCTCTGTCCTGCCAGAATATCATAAAGTTGTTGTAATATGGCTTTAAAAATAAAATGAAAAAAGTAAAGTTTATATTATATTTCATATTATATTTCAAGTGGGACCCGTTTTGTTTCTGCCATGTTATTTTCCCGTCACCGTGTGTTATCTGATCTACAGCTGCAGTGTTTAAGTCCAAGTTCTGTTGTTATTTTTTCATTATTTTGTGATGTTTACTGATTAATCCAGAAAACAACCAGCAGATGAATCACTATTTAGCCCTAGATGACCTGCTGCTGTCAGGGTCAGTCAGACTTGATAGATGTTTCAAAGTCTTCTGTCTGTATTGTAGCTTCCCCAACAGCTGAGTGTTTACATAGCCAAAGCCAGGTTTGGGTTTGACTATTTACTATAACAAGAGCTTAGACTGCTTTGTCTGGTAGCTAGGCAACCACAGTGACTGGTAGCTAGGCAACAAGTGCTATAAAAGCAGTACCAGCACCAGGATACATCCAGCTCAGGTGTTTACATTTGTCTAAGTTTTACATGACTCTTCAGTCAGTAGCCGTTTCTCAATCTGCGTTCTTCTCTGTTCTTGTGTTCTTGTGAAACGTCATCAGTCTCAGCCCAAGTCTGTTCCAATTTCAAAGTCTGCATCTTCCCAAGTACAGATCAAATATCCGGAAGTGTTCTCACTCCACCCGCGTACAGAAATAGCAACAAACAGAGGAGTAGCAGTTTTTCTGGATAAAAAGCTTTATAATTTTTATATCTTTCAACTGATTTCAATGAGTTGTTTTTATATTCAAGGGTTTATGATCTATGTGCAGTAAAAATAAAAGTTTGGTCCCAAGTTAATTAGAATCGTGATAGTTAGGCTTTAATATGATTAGGCTTTAATCATATATATATATATATATATATATCGGTATTAAGGGGCCCAAACTGTGCTAAGAAAATATTCCCCACACCACTCACTGGATATTGTCTCTTTTTCAGACCATTCTCTGTAAACCTTAGAGATAGTTGTGTGTGAAAATCCCAGTAGATCAGCAGTTTCTGGAATACTCACCAGCCTGTCTGGCACCAACAACCATGCCACGTTCAAAGTCACTTAAATCACTGTTCTTCCCCATTCTGATGCTCAGTTTTAGCTTCAGCAGATCGTCTTGACCATGTCTACATGCCTAAATGCATTGAGTTGCTACCATGTGGTTGGCCTATTAGATATATGCGTTAACAAGCAGTTGAACAGGTGTACCTAATAAAATGGCTGGTGTGTGTGTGTGTTTGTGTGTGTGTGTGTGTGTATACACACATATATAAGCAGGGCTTAAAGTATTCCGACACCGCCCCGGCTCTCCGGTGTAATGCTGTGAGAGAAAAAATGAAAAGTCAATACACTTGTTGTGGATGCGGTTTATCATGTTTGAGGTAATAAAGTTCAACTACCAATGGTATGAGAAGAACGCAGGTCTCGCTCTCAACCTAACCAGATACTGAACTTTACCAACTTTACCAGCCAATCAGAAGCTGAGCGGTGCGGGTCTTGGCAAAACTGGCAGTGTAGGATCCAGCGGTTTGAAGGAGCCAGGCGCTTGTTTCTGCACTGTGCTCAAGGAAGCGATCTGCCACCAGCGGTAAAAAGTTGCCCTCTTGTCATGAATTGCTGTCCGTGCAGTCCAACATACAACTATGTTACCGAGAGTGACACTTACGGTTGACACTCATCAATGACTGACCGTGTCTGTGATCAAAAAATACGCGTGTGCACGTTCATTGCTAAACATGATCTGTCTTTCACAATTTCTTTTACAACCCAAAAAGAATGAAGAAATAATAATACTTTAAACTCCCCCCTGGGTCAGGTGGAATAAAAACCAAGGCAAACAGAGAGAGTTTGATGAATAAAATGTGAACTGTGATTATTCTGCAGACATACAGCAGTCCTGAAGAAGTCCCCCTGAACTTTTTTACCTGTATCTGTACCTCAGGTGTGTCTCAGGATGTCCAGCCACTGATTGTCAATGCAAAGATTCCTGCGAAGCGGCAGGAGCTGAGCCCCCGTCTGGACCAGGAGGCCCCGCAGCCCCTACGCATTAAAGAGGAACCAGGGGATGTGTGGACTGGTCAGGAGGGAGGGCTGGAGGGGACTGATGTCCCAGAGTTCCAGTTTCCTCCTGTCTCTGTGAAGAGTGAACATGATGAAGAGACTCCTCAGTCCTCAGAGCTTCAACAAAGCCGAGCCAAGGAAAGCACATATGGTACGGCCTCCAGTCCAGCTCAACAGACGGAACCTGGAGCGGCTGGAGAGGACCGTGGAGAACCAGACCGAACCCTTGACATGGACGTAGCTAGATTTTTAAAAGCAACCAGTAACGGTCAGTTTTTCCTTTCTCATTGTTTTAAAGCTGACCCTGAAGTCCTGGATGATGACTGGAACCAGATGATCAAATCGCAGCCGTTTTCAGACACACTGACAGACAGTGAGGCCGCGTCTCACAAGAGATCTCAGAAAAAACTGTATAAATGTCCAATGTGCAGCAAAACCTTCCAGCACAACACAGCTCTGCAGAGACACATCACCTGCCACACAGGGGAGAGGCCGTTCGACTGTGCTGAGTGTGGTAAGACCTTCAGACAGAAGGGAAGTCTGCACATTCACATGAGGAAACACACAGGAGAGAAACCTTTTAGTTGTTTAGTTTGTGGTAAAAACTTCACCCAGAGTGGAACCTTAGCTGCACACATGAGGATCCACACCGGAGAGAAGCCGTTCAGCTGCTCAGTGTGCAAGAAAAGGTACAATGAAAGAGGGACACTGGTCAGACACATGAGGGTCCACACTGGAGAGAAACCCTTCACCTGCTCACTGTGTGGGAAAAGGTTCAGTGAGAAAGGAAATCTGAACAAACACAAGAGAATCCACACAGGAGAAAAACCGTTCAGCTGCAGTCTGTGTGAGAAAAAGTTTAGTTTGTTCTCACACCTCAAGAACCACAAGTGTCCTGGAAAGAAAAGCAGTGAAGCTGCAGAGCTGCAACCTCAGCTGCAGTGTCCAAATGTCACAGAGCAGGTAACCAGACACATTCATGAGTCAGTCTCTTCACTCTCCTCTGGTGATAAATAGAAGAAATGATTAATCAAAGAAATAATCAGCAGATCACTAATAGAAATAGTCAATAAAAGTTATGGTCTGAGTCACAACTGTTAAACTGAACCACATGGAGCTGATCTGGGATGAACCGTACTCAAGGTAAAAGTGACACGAGTGTGAACTTCTGCAACAGAGATGGACCAACTGTCTGATTGTGTCTGATTCCAATGTAGAGAGTACGTCAGAGTTCAGCTGCTGGAGGAGGCAGACATTTAGATTCAGTTTACATTTAAACAAGATGCAATGATTTTTTTTTTTTAAATCTCCAGTTGTTAATTTGTTCTTTGCTTTAATTTCAGAAACATTGAATGATGTAAAGTTCAGTCACAACTGGAGAAATGGAAAAGATCTGCTCCTTTTCCATCCAATCATCTGTCTTCACTGGTCAAGAAACAACTTGCACTAAATGCACATAAACATAATGTGTGAAGTGTATTTGTAAGCTTCCTACCCTCAGTAATTAGCCCGAGCTTGTCCTGTTTAGACACAGATAGAGGACTGATGCTGCTGCTAACATGCTGCTCATATTGTGTGTATACATGCTGTATGCTAACCAGCTGCATGTTGTAGCTTCATGTTTAGTGTCAAAGTACTCCTTTAATGTTTCTGTCATCTACACTTTGATCAGGTTAAACATGGAAGATGTTGACAGGTAGTTTGCTTTATTGTAAGATGTTTAAGTTTCTGCGTTTGTGTCATAAAATAAACTTTTGTTTTATCAACTAAAATGTTTTTGTTTATGTTCATGATGTAAATAAGCCACAATTCAGACCTTGCTCTGCTCTGTCCTCCAGCCCATGACCTGGAGAGTGACTGAGGTCCACCATCGTCCAGGATGTTCCAAGATCTTAAATGTGTCTGAGGAGAGAGGAGAGGAGCTCAGCACTGATTCACAAGTATATCCTGACTGTTCAGTTCTTCTGATGGGACAGGAAAAGGAGCAAGCAGGAAACAGCTTTACTATATTAATTACATGACTGTAGACTGTGACATGACTGTGGTGGCTCTTACATAATTCATATTTATTCATAAGCACATACAGCCACTCTGCTAAAGCCAAATAATCCAACATTGTCAGTGACAGTGATAATAGAAAAATAAAAGGGGAAAGGATGTGGTCTGATAATTTGGCATAAAAGACAATGAGTCAAAGAACAGACATTGAAGGCACCATAGCCTATATTTTACTCTTAACTACATGTATCTGTTTGATGAGAGGTCTTTCCTTGTTCCATTGCCTCATGTCTGCCGTATGCATGTTTCTGAGTTTTAGTCAGCTGGCGACACCTAGAGGCGATGCAACAAAACTATGAACATTATGACCACATATCAAAACAACTCCTCAAAGCTTTATTGGAAACAATAACACATCCATATGTATGCAGTTGATAGTATACATAACAATAATTGCGCAAAAGGATGCAATACATGCCCTAATAATAATGGCAGGTTTAGACTTAGACAAAGTAGCGAATGTCAGAATTAGAAGGCAACAGGTGTTTATAGACCATGCTGACTTTTTGGGCCCATGATATATGACATTTCAGCAGTTTAAGATTTCCTAGAGCAGTCCTCTTGGAGCTGTGGTGAGTTGAGTCTGGCTTTGGAGAAGGACACAGCAAGAAATTAAACATTGCCTGTTCTCTTACAAGGGCTGACCACATTGGGTTACAGGGGCATTTCAGAGAGAACAGACAGAGCAGTCTGGACTGTGCCAGTCGTCCTTTAGCCGCACTGTATTGATATGACAAGTACACGTGGAATGAATTCATGATGTTATACCGCTGCACCAGCAAGTGGCAGTAGCGCAAGGTTGTCGTGCCATCCTAGTTCATATATGTGGAAAGGGTCATGTATAAAGACACTCTGAATCAAGACTCCGGTGTGCACGCCTCGTCAATACATGGTACCAGGAGAAAAATTGACTACAAGTGATGAATAATGAACTCCCTTCGTCAGCCAGATGAGTTAAAGTTGACTGGAAAACTTTCAAGCAAAGTTTTGAACTGTATACTCTTGCTATCGGTCTGAAAGACAATGAAGAAAAGCAGAAAATAGCAACTGCTAACTGTAGCAGGACGTGCCGCATTACGTGCCGTTTGCTTTTGCAAATGCAGAAAAAGACAAGTACGAGGCAGTAATAACGAAATTTTACCAGTACTGCACACCGAGGAAAAACGTGACCTACGAAAGGTATGTCTTCAGAAGTCGTCTCCAAAAGGAGTCAGAGTCAATTGAACAGTATGTGACGGACTTACGGCGTGCTTACACGCGCCTAAACAGTGCCCGGCTTTCAGGAAGGACTGCAGGAAGTGTGGAGGTAAAAATCACTTCGCCAAATGTTGCTTCTCAAAGAAAGTGCAGCTTGTGGAGAACAAAGGTGACAACAGCAGTGCTGAAGATGAGACACCATTCTTCGTGGATACAGTCAAGCTCGTAGATGACGTCAGTCTCAAAGAGAAAGAGGGGCCTCCAGTCTACGTCGATCTGGTCGAGGATGCTGAAAGCACTACAGAGGACGAATGGATAGCACATGTGGATGCGAATGGCACGGATGTTTCACTGAAACTGGACACAGGGGCGCAGGTGAATATCCTGCCAATGAAAGACTATTACAGACTGAGAAAAAAGCCCAAGGTTTGTGATAAAAAGGTAAATCTAAGAACTTATGATGACAAGCCTATACCTACCAGGGGAGTGTGTAAAGCTAACCTATCTTGCAATGGTAAAAAAGTGAATGCACTTTTTGTTCTGATACATGGTAACAGACAAGCACTACTGGGGTTGAAAGCCTGCATAGCTTTAGGAATAATAAAAAGAGTCGATGTCATTAACACAGAGAAAGTGACACAAAAGCAGACAGCAGAAGCCAATCATTGGGTAACAGAATACAGAGAGGTGTTCAAAGGAATAGGACGCTTGCCAGGTGAACACAAAATTAAGCTCAGGGCTGATGCAGAGCCAATCGTACACCCAGCAAGGAAAGTGCCTGTTGCACTCAAAAGGAGGCTGAGAGCAAAGCTAAATACCCTGATAGCAGAAAACATAGTCAGGAAGATTGATGAACCAACAGAATGGGTTAATTCCCTTGTCATACTGGAAAAGTCAGATGGTGATTTGAGACTGTGCATAGATCCTAAGGATTTAAATAAAGGGATTCAGCGTGAACATTACAGGTTACCAACCAAATCAGACATAACCAGTGCTATAAGTGGAGCACGCTACTTCTCCAAACTCGATGCCTCATCTGGTTTTTACCAAATAGTGCTAGATGAAGAGAGTGCCAAGTTATGCACATTCAATACACCATTTGGGAGGCATTGTTTTCAAAGACTACCTTTTGGTATAAGTTCTGCCCCCGAAGTGTTCCACAAAACTATGCAGCAGCTGTTTGATGGAATAGAAGGGGTAGGTGTATTCATTGATGATGTGATAATCTGGGGTCGCACTAAACAGGAACATGATGACAGGCTTCGCAGAGTGCTCAACAAAGCACGAGAAGTAGGTTTAAGACTGAACAAAAAGAAGTGCCAATTTGGTGTGAGTGACATAACTTACCTGGGTGAAAAGTTATCAGAAGCTGGGGTGCAGTCGGACCCCGAGAAAATCCGAGCTATAGCAGAAATGCCCATACCAGAAGACAAGAAGGACCTGCAAAGAGCCTTAGGTTTGGTAAACTACCTAGGGAAATTTATTCCATCTAGCACTAGGGCATTGAGAAGCCTGCTAGAGGCAGACACAGTGTGGCAGTGGACTGCAGAGCATGTGAATGAGTGGGAGTGGGTAAAGGACACTCTGACAAAAGAGCCTGTCCTGAGATTCTATGATGAAGACAAGCTACTTAAAGTCTCCACAGATGCTTCAAAAGCCGGCCTAGGTGCTGTGCTACTCCAAAAACATGACTCTGAGTGGTTACCAGTAGCATATACTTCCTGCACTATGACATCAGCGGAGAGAAATTATGCACAAATAGAAAAGGAGACACTAGGGGCAGTGTACGGCTGTGAGAAGTTTCATGAGTACATATACGGGAAGTCAGCTATCTTGGAGACAGATCACAAACCTCTAATAGCCATATCTCAGAAACCACTAGGAGATTCGCCACCGCGTATACAGCGCCTAATGCTTCGTCTCCAAAAATACGACTTGAAGTTCGAGTTCACACTTGGCAAAAACTTAATAGTAGCAGATACATTAAGCAGGGCCAGCTTGCAGCATGATAAAAGTACTACAGAGGATGATGTGCAAGTCCATGTGGATTATGTAAGAACACAGATGCCAGTGTCAAAAGCAAAATGGGCAGAAATAGCTAAAGAAACTCAGGAGGATGAAACACTTACAGGTGTGGTCAAACAGATAAGCTTACCTGGCAATGTGAAGCTAGTCAAGCCATACCAACATTTTAAGGGTGAGTTATCTGTGGTGGACGGGGTTCTGTTAAAGGGCACGCAGATAGTCACTCCCACCTCCATGAGATCACAAATGCTGAAGTTAGTGCATGAGGGACACTTGGGTATTGAAAAGTGTAAGAGACGTGCACGTGATGTTCTGTATTGGTCGAACATGCATAGAGACATTCAGACGTTGGTGCAACGCTGTGAGGTCTGCCAGCGACATCAATACCAACAGCCTAAGGAGCCAATGATGCCACATGACAAAACCACAAGAGCCATGGGAAAAGGTTGGAATGGACTTATTTCAACTAAAAGGCAAGGATTACCTGCTGGTGATTGATTACCACAGCATTACCCAGAATTCTGTCAGCTGTCCGCCACAACGGCAGAACATGTAATTGCACACACAAAGGCCATATTCGCACAACATGGGATTGCATCCACAGTGATAAGTGACAATGGGCCTCAATTCAGCCAGAGCTTCAAGGAGTTTGCAGAGACTTACGGTTTTGAACACATAACTTTGAGCCCCCTTTACCCGCAGTCAAATGGGAAGGCAGAGAAAGGTGTGCAAATTGTGAAACGCCTTCTAAAGAAAGCCATGGAAAACAGTGAGGACCTGTATCTGGCTATTCTAAACTACTGTGCCTCACCACTGGAGAATGGACTTTCACCAGCAGAGATGCTCATGAAAAGGAAGCTCAGGACCAGGCTTCCAGCAGCAAAGCTGAGGATGGAGCACAGTGTGTCAAATATTCCTAAAGAGAGTCAGATCAACGCTTACAACAGAACAGCAGTGCCACTGAAACCCCTGGCCCACGAGGAAATTGTGAGGGTCAGATGTGATGGATAGTGGGCACCTCTGGCTAAAGTGATTCAAGAGGCAACACCAAGGTCATACGAGGTCATCATGGAGCATGGACTGACACTAAGGCGAAACAGGAGACACCTGCTAAAAGTGCCACAGAGGAATATTGTGATTATGGATAATAACACCAA